TGTCCAGCTCATTATTCGAGAATAGTTAGAAACTGGCTGGACGAAAATTATCCAGAAAGATGGATCGGCCGTGGAGGACCAGTCGCCTGGCCTCCACGGTCCCCTGACCTAAATCCATTAGATTTCTTTGTGTGGGGATTTCTAAAAGAAAAAGTGTACCAGACTCCCGTAACCACAAGAGATATGCTAATACATAGACAGAATCAGGAATGCATGTGATCATTCGTAGATGTAAATTGTGTATTGAACAATTGGGTATACATTTCGAGCACCTACTTTAGATTTTGTATGTTTGTCCTAACTATCCAATATCATTTTAGTTGTAAATAATTAATTTAATTTGTTAAAAATAATATTGGAAAATTAAACAAATTAATATTCTGTTTTTTGTGTTTATTTGGAGTTAGGAATTATTGCTGTGTTTAAAAACACAATCTAAACGATCATCTTAATTACTTGTAATGCCCAAATCGCAAATGTGAAATATATAATATAATTAAAAATGCATCGAGCCTTAAAAATCGAAATATCTCAAAAACGGCTAACTATAACGAAAACTCACAGGAGAGCTTTTTTATGTTGAAACGTGCAAAGAATCAGTTTTTTTATTCAAAAAGCAAAAAATTGTACTAAGAAAAAATTTTCGGTCATTTTAATACACTACAGGTACAGTAGAGAGCGCCCTCTAGCGGCTACAGTAAAACTATGCCCATGGTTCGTTTTGTCGTACCAAACAAACCTTGTATACCAATTTTCACATCAAATATTGTTCGAAATATTTAAAAAAAACTATTTTAGAAAGTAAATTTGAACACCCTGTATTTCGGAAGCCACGTATTTTTCGACCCATGTTTATATAGACTTTATGCATTAATTTTAAAAGTTCTATCGAATCTTAAAGTTATGCAACAATAAACTAAAACACCCTGTATATATTGTTCATGCAAGTTCAAAAACATGCTTCATTATTTGTACTCAAAAGCCATTCAGATTCAAATTCTTTGGCGCGTGCGCATATAAGTAAAACATGCGCACAAGAGGCAGACGATTTCGTGAAGTCAATTCGTAAAAGATCGCCAAAGGCAACCGTCGTCTTCAAAACCTCCATAAAGAATCCTAGTTAAATCGGGTACAATATATTCGCTAAGGCAAGTATGGTGAACCTAAGAAGAAGCTGTGAAGAGAGAGGAGCTCCTCCAGACCAGGCGACAGGAACACCCTGGTACGTGCCAATCCTACATTGTCTTTGTATGGCTCGGGTGTCGATTACCTTGTTACCTTAATTATATCTGAACGCACTTAGAGTCCCGCAGCTCTCCACAATCTAGAATCAACTTTGCAATAACATTTTTTGGCCATTCGAGCCCGCATTTTTCTGGTAATTTTCCAAATTTTCCACGAAAATATAATTAAGGATTAAGCAATTATTGTCGCCATCTTGTACGTTCCGTCACAGTTTTGCTTCCTTTCAATTCGTAGCTCAGTAGTAGAACCATTATTTCATGTAAATAACCAAAAGAAAGGGTGTGAGCAAAAACACGTCCGAAGAAAAAGGAAAATTGTGTTGTCATTCTAGAAGTCAATATTATTCTATAAGATTGTTATCGAACATCCGCATATATACATATATTCAAATACGTGATACCGAGCTATGTTCTTAGTGCCTTTTGTGAACCTGTACACTTTTGGAGTAAACACGGTCCAGGATATTTATATAGTAAACAAATCATTTTTCAATCAAAATTAACAATCAGTGTTATTCTAAATATTCAGAAGCATGTCTTTGAAAAGGCTGGTTAATTAACGCAAAATAGCAATCTCACGTATTACAGAGGCGTACAATCTGGGAATAAAAGTGAAAACCGACGATGCTCTCAAATTAACATTCAAGTCGTATTTTGAATTATTAGATGATCATTATGAACAGTTCAAGGCTACACATAATGGAGTCATCGGCCTTCTTGATGATGATACTGGCGATACCGAATTTGAGGCACACGATGTTATTCGTAAAGATGCCGATTCGTTTTGCCACAAAACGAAGGCAATATTTAGTAGTTTATTTCCCGCTCCCAATCAACAGCCCTGTCTTACTCCAGTAATTCATGATGTTCTATCACGTAGCGATGATTTGGGCCCTTTGAAAGTGCCTACATTCAATGGGAACCTGAAACATTGGCCTACCTTTTGCGATGTTTATTTATCATTGGTTCATAACAATCCGATATTAAAGTATTTCATTATTTGCTCAGTTTCTTAGATGGTGAACCATTGAACATTTTGAGCTCAATCAAACTAACAGCGTTAAATTACGCAATCGCCTGGAAGACACTAACAAACAGGTATTAAAATGTTGGACTTCTGTCCGGTACCTATTGGGACTCGATTTACAATGCAAATCCTTTAAAATCCAATAATTCACCTAAAGATCTCGGATCTCCAGTAGATTAGTGGTGCTTTTGCTTATTTACTATGCTTTTATCAAAATTGGATCACTCTACTAGAACAGCTTTTGATATCAGGTATAGTACTACCGAAATCCCGACATACTAAAATCTGGAATTCCTTACAAACAATTGCAGAGCTGTCGAAACTATACAGTCAACTCGTCAAAACTCCCCAACGCACCCCAGTACCGAACGGCAACAACCGAAACTGACTTATCCAAATTTTAATAATAATAGAAGCAATAAAGATCTCAATAGCTCATATAGATCGAATCCGCCGTACAATTTCTATATAAAAGCTAGTCCACAATCGAGCTATCCCAGCACAAACCATTCATCTCAAAATCGAAATTCAAACAAGTGCATACTCTGCAACAATCTATTTCATCCCTTGTCGCAATGTGCCACGTTCATTGCAAAATCACCTTCGGACTGTTTCGCGTATGTGAAGCAACACAACGCATGCGTAAACTGTTTGCGTTTTAATCATCTGTTACGAAATTGCGCAAGCACATTTAATTGCAAAATCTGTCGTTATCGCCACCACACTTTGTTGCATCTACCACAATCAACCGTCCAAATCAAAATCAAAATCCCAATCAAAATTCAAGTCAAAATCATAATTCTATCGATTCCAATCCAAGTCAGGTCACGGCGAACCTAATGCTAGCACATTCCAATCCAAATCAATTAAATTCATGTCTTTCTCATCTCAATTACGACTATAGTGAAAGTAACCAAAGTTTAATCCAAAGTTCGTCAAATCATAATCAAATCGCTTCAAACTCGATTCAAGATTATTCTAACCCATCACAACTTAATCCATTAACCAACCTTTGTACATCACTGCCTGCTTCGACACCCAGAACTGTGCTTTTATCCACCCTCAAATTAGATGTCCTTGACGCTCGAGGTAATTACCAAACAGTTCGAGCAACCCTAGATAGCGGAAGTCAAGCAAACTTTATAAGCGGGTCTTGTCTCAACCGATTGGGCATATCAAGAAACCAACACTCGATCTCTGTCTTTGGAATAAATCAATCATCGTCAGCTACTAAAGGCATGTCTACTTGCACTATCAAACCCAGAGATCAGTCTCAACCTACTTTCACAATTCAAGTCTTGGTTCTATCAAAACTTAGTTCTCCCATGCCTCAAGCTGATGTTTCGAAAGTATCCGTTAGGTTTTCTAGCACCAGTTTCATTTTTCGCTAAAGTAATAATGCAAAAGCTTTGGTTATGCAATATAGATTGGGGCGAAATCCCTCCAGATTCAATTGTAAACCTTTTTGTAATCAATTAACTACTCTTTCGAATATTTGCATCCCTAGATATATATTTTCAAGTAACCTTCAGCGATGTCAACTGTTCGGTTTTTGTGATGTCTCAGAGCTTGGTTACGCTTGTTTGTATATCTTCGTGTCGAACTCCGAAAAAACGTCATAAAGTCAGCCTTAGTTGTCGGCAAATAAAGAGTAGCTCCCCTTCATACAAAATCAATCCCTTATCTAGAGCTACTAGGAGCCACCCTTGTAGCAGATTCATTAGATTTAGTAATTCGTAACTATTCTCCGTTAGTCGACACGGATGATATTTTTGCATTTTGTGATTCACAGGTTGCATTACATTGGATCACATCCTCTCCACATAAATGGAAGAGTTTTGTAGCAAATCGTGTCAGCCATATACAAGAAGTTATTCCGAATGTACCGTGGTATCATATACCGCCTCTCGAGAATCCTGCAGATTGCGCTAGCAGAGGTTTAACGCCAACAAATCTTGTCCATCACTCCCTTTGGTTCCATGGTCCACATTGGATAACTTTGCCTACTACCAAGTGGAAAATCAAAAGGTTTATCGATGAAAGTTCTGATGTCAGACTAGATGATGTCGTTAAGGAAAAAAATCCAAATAATACAGTGGTTCTTACAGCCGAAATTCAAACAGAAGACTTTTTTCATCGATTAGTAAATGGCTTATCCAGTTTAAATACGATTCAAAAAATTATTTGTCATCTTATCCGCGTAATTCGTGTCAGGAACGATACAATAAGTTCCATTTCAGATCCCTTTTCGGTCTTTGAACTACACAGAGCATTATTAATTCTGGTTAAGATATTCCAGAAAGACTGTTATTCAGATATAATTTTGAAAATCAAAACCAATCAATTATTGCCTAAGCCGTTACGGAAGCTATCGCTCTGTTTAGACGAGTACGGTTTAATTAGTGTGGGCGGACATCTAAGGAATTCTGAGCTTTCCTTCGATGCAAAACATCCTGTATTGCTACCTAAAAATCATAGATTTAGGGCCCCCGCAGACTGCAGACTTTCTATCGGCCGATGGTTTAGTCGGGTTGGGCTGCCAGTGTGCACGCCGAGCCAACTAAACAGTTTGGTTGGTGGAGAGTGCGCATACTAGCCAACAGTCGGCCGATGATTCTTAAGCTATTTACGATTCACTAGTTTGTATCTGACTGTTGAAGTAGCTGTCGCACAATGAAAGTAAATACAATATTGTCCAGAAATGTTATTATTGCTCTGATACAACGTAGGAGGAAAATCAAGAAAAGATTCCGAGAGTACTGGGTGCATCCCATTCTCAGTGATAGATTAGTTGCTGGAAAATTTTACACAATGCATTCCCAATTACTGGATTATCCGAGAAAATTTTTTGCCTTTTATCGAATGAGCATAACCAGCTTCAATGAACTTGTCAAGCTAATTGGACCAGCAATAGCGAAGGAGGATACAAATTTAAGGCTTTCTATACCTGTGGAGGAGCGATTGAGCGTTACGATAAGGTAAGATAAACCACAAATACTTTTCAATTATTTTTATTAGAATGCAAACTACAAAATTCGGTATTTTGAGAGATTAAGTTGTTTACAGATCGTATATTTGCGAATTAGTTGAAAAATTTGAATAATAAGACTGGACTGTCTCGTTGGAGTTGCCTGGTGATGAAATGTTTTGAATGGTTGTGGGTGGCAAATTGGGGGATGGTGTAGACCTAGTTGTATAAGCCTGTGATTGTTGTTGTGGTGGCATGTTGTTAGTCCCTCGATAAAGAGGAAAAGAGGACATAGGTTGCTGTACTGTGTTGTACCTATATGTTGGCTGAGTAGATTGAACACACCTAGCTAGTCTTATCTGTTTAAACACGTTCAGAATACCTATTTTAGCATCCAGTTTTTCTTCTGCGGTTAAATTTTGGAGTGAAGGGACTAGAGACAAAGCAAAGTTTACATCTTCATCAGCATTAGTCGCATTTAATGATTTTAATAATGCTTCATCCAAGTCCGTATGCTTCGATACATTAGGCCTCTTCTTCCGCTGACGAATAGGGGTGGAAGCAGATGGTCCAGCTTGCTCATCATCCTCATCATTTTCTTGAGAATTGTCCTCCTCCAGATTACCTTCAGTACGTCGGTTTTCCATGCATGGGAGTAAAAATAATAACTATTCAGAGTAGACATATTTACGCCTCTTGGTCGCAGCTTGTCCCGATATTGGAATATCATTAATTTATAATTTATTTCTTTACAGATATCTGGCTACTGGAGCTAGTTTCAATACATTATCTTTTGATTATCTGATGGGAGCTTCTACAATACGAGACATTACTAAAACTACATGTGAGCAAATATGGAATGTGCTTCAACCATTGTATATGCCAATCAAACAAGAAGGCGACTGGATTAAAATCGCAGACGAATTCTATAGTCGCACAAATTTTCCAAACATCATTGGAGCGATAGATGGCAAACATATACGGATGATACAGCCAGAACATTCCGGTTCGTCATATTTTAACTACAAAAAGTTCTTTTCTTGCGTGTTAATGGCTTGGACAGACGCAGATTATAAATTTGTATACATTGACGTTGGTTCTTATGGAACAGCTAGCGATTCGGAAATATTAAAAAGATCAGAAATGGGTAAACGGCTTTCTGAAAATCGATTATATATTCCCTCCGGAAGGCATTTGCCTAATGATGATGTCGGGGATGTTATTCCATTCTCTGTCGTAGGGGATGAGGCGTTTGGACTTGGGAATCACATATTACGGCCATATGCAAAAAGAAATTTAAACTACACCAAACGAATTTTCAACTATAGACATACAAGAGCTCGACGAATGGTTGAGTGTACATTTGGGATTCTCGCTAACAAATGGCGTATTTTTCACCGACCAATAGATGTCAATATCACTTTTTGTGTCCGAATTATTAAAGCTTGTTGTGTCCTGCATAATTATGTAAGAATCAAAGATGGACTAAATTTTACAGAAACTCTCTACAGCTGTCCCATGGATAACTTGACTATAAATGAAAACAACCGAGGAAGAAATAATATGAATAACGTGCGACAGTACATGTCGTCATATTTTATTTCTCCTGGAGGCGCAATTCCGTGTCAATATAACAAAGCGTAATAATGTAGTAATTAATGGAATAACAAATGTAATAAGTATTCAGCTACACCTACGTACATAAATAAAAATTCACATGAAGCGTTACGTACCTTTGTTTGTTCTGTCCTCGGCATTAAGGTGATTCCAACCAAGAACAACTGCTTCACAAACTTCCTCCCACAATTTTTTCTTGAGATTTGCGTCGGAGTACTCTTTTAAAGTTTTTTTATAAAGCGCAGGTCTTTTCTCGACTTCTTCAATCAACTGTACGATGGACGTTTCTACAATCAACGATTGTGAATTTGGCGATGCCATATTAAAAATATACGCACGAAACGACCAACGCCAATGGCCGAAGCGAACTGAGCCATCGGCCGATTGAACAATCGTCGTGTGTGCGCACGTGGAAGTTAGCCAATACTGATTAAGCAGTCGGCCGACAGTTGGCCGACAGATCAGTTTGAAGGAAATCGGAAAGCCCATCAAACTTTTTTATCGGCTGATACTGAATCGTTGTAATGTGCGCATACGCATAACTCTCCATACTGATTAACAAGCTGACCAAACTATCGGCCGATAGAAAGTCTGCAGTCCGCGGGGGGCCTAACAGACCTTATCATTGAGCAAACACATAGGAAACATTTACATCCAGGACTAAACACGATTCAAAACATAATTCGTTAGAAATTTTGGGTTTTATCTACGCGCATATCTATCCAAAAGGTCTTGTCACAATGCATTCGATGTTTTCGCTAAAAACCCAAAACGTATACCCCCTACATGTCGGATCTACCATATTTTCGAACCTCACAATTAAAATGTTTCTCCCACGGATGCCTAGACTGTGCAGGTCCAATAAAAACCTTTGTAGGACAGCGGCGTCGCGGTGCGCCAGCCTCATAATCCTACATAGCCGTCTTTGTTGATAATTGTGTAAGGGAATTCATATCGAACTTGTTTCTGGTTTAACCAAAGAAGCTTGTATTGCTGCGTTAAGTCGTTTTGTAGCCAGACGGGGCACTTGTGTACAGATCACAAGTGATCAGGGTACAAATTTTGTCGGGGTTATTAGAGAGCTTCACAATCTATCTGAGACTGCGGCCGAAAGCTTAAAAATTAAATGGAATTTAAATAGTCCAGGAGCTCCCCATCTTAACGGTTTAGCCGAAGCGGGAGTTAAAGGCATTAAAACCCGTTTATATCGAGTCATCGGAGACCAAATACTAACCTTCGAAGAACTTTATACCCTTCTCACTCAAATAGAAGCATTGCTAAGTTCTCGTCCCCTTTGTGAACAAAGTTCAGACCCCAATTATTTAGCACCACTAACCCCAGGGCATTTCTTAACCACAGAACCTTGAAATTCATGCCCAGGTCCTGATTTATCATCCCTTAAACAAAACACTCTTAGTCGTTGGCAACTCATTCAGAGATTACATTCAGATTTCTGGAAACGTTGGAAACTCGAATATCTCAACACTCCCCAGCAACGTTGTAAGTGGAACGACACATCAACGGAAATTAAGTTAGGTTCCTTAATACTAATCAAAGACGAGTCAGCGCCTCCACTGCGTTGGTTGTTGGGACGCGTTATGGAAGTTCATCCTGGTCATGACAATCATGTCAGGATTGTTCAGGATTGTTACACTAAGAACACAGCATGGGCTTCTCACGCGGCCGGTGGTAAACCTATGTCCTTTACCCATAGTGAAATAATATTTAATCATATAACATAATTTTCCTTAATTCTATCGTGTGTGTGTTTTCGATTTGTTTTTTTGTAACCACTGAGTTACAAATACTCATTTATTCAATTCAATCATATTCTTCTCGTATTCATGTTTATATCTAATAATTCACTTAATTCAAATCATATATTTTCGATACTTTGTTTTTTGTCAAAACTCTTATATTATAGTTTCTATAAAGTCAAATCAATTCAATAATTAATTCAATTAAAATCCTATATTTTCGATACTTTGTTGTCATTATCTTGTATAGAATAAACTTTATATAAAACTCCGTTTTAAGTGGGCGAAAATGTTCATGCAAGTTCAAAAACATACTTCATTATTTGAACTCAAAAGCCATACAAATTCAAATTCTTTGACGCGTGCGCATATAAGTAAAACATGCGCACGAAGACGATTTCGTGAAGTCAATTCGTAAAAGATCGCCAAAGGCAACGGTCGCCATCAGAATCTCGTAAAGATCGGAAAAGGTCGTCTTCAAAACCTCCACAAAGAATCCTAGCTAAACCGGGTACAATATATTCGCTAAGGCAAGTGTGGTGAACCTAAGAAGAAGCTGTGAAGGGAGAGGAGCTCCTCCAGACCAGGCGACAGGAACACCCAGGTACGTGCCAATCCTACATTGTCTTAGTATGGCTCGGGTGCCGATTACCTTATTACCTTAATTTTATCCGAACGCGCTTACAGTCCCGCGGCTCTCCACTCAATCAACTTTGCAATAACATATATATATATATATATACAGGGTAGCAATTATAATTATTATTAGTCTTAGTCTGTAGTGTGGAGGTTCTTCGCTTGTTCTGTGCAGCCACATTGATAGCGCTACACCATGCTTACAGCCACCCTCTTGTGCAGCACAATCACTACATTCTAGCTTGATTACTGTTTCCTCCTTTTTGTCGCATTAAAAACTGCAATGATACGGTTTGCTTTTAACTCTATGTTCGGGCGTAATCCTGGCTTTTACAATACAGAGATCCCGTTCTCTTTTTAACTTCACATAACCAATCGCCTCGCCTTAGGTGTCTCTTCCAGACCTATAATGACAACAGCCAAATAACAATACCCAAAAATGAATTACAAATTATTGATTCTACTCCTGGTTAACAAATGGACATCGTGAATTGTTACGAAAGAATTATTAAATTGTTGTGAGTCAACACCGGACCGCCATCAAGTCCTATTGGCGTTGGAATAAATTTCAGTTCAAACAGTTGATTTTCTGGTCACTGCGCGATATTGAATTTATTATTTATTAAACGTATCCGCTGGAGTTTGGGTCATCCTAAATTATTTGATGCATGCTTTCATTTTCTTCTATTCATAGAATTAATAAAGCCGAATAAGATCATCCATAATACCCCGCTACTGACACCACGCGTCCTACGTAAAGTTGATGAGTCAAAACACTTTTATAAGTCCACAGTATGGTATCGTCGCAGGCAATGGGTTGAATAAATGGCCTCACGTTATCAGAATTGTATAGAATAAATTATACTATTTACTTATGTATTTTCGTACTCTCCGAAAGTTCTTTGAATTGGGAAGCTTTCTAGGTGGTATTTTGTTGATTACCTAAATACACAACTTTGGCCCCATTTAAGGGACTTCGTATCTCTGACAGTTCCGAGATTCCAATGATGAGGATCGAATTTGAAATACCATGTATACAGGGTGACTTTGAAGTTGAGTCATTAATTTTCAGATAATGATTGTAGAAGGAAGATAAACCAAAATATGTGTGTAAAAATAAAAAAAAATGTTACCTTGTTTTATAAAGTATCCTCCCGACAAGTATTTCAGTGCGGTCTTCTAGCACCGGCATGCCCTCCCCTGTGAGGTCTTAAGTCACCTGATTCACGAGCCCTTTGTACTACATTAACAAAGGCACGAGGGGTTGGTTGCACTCGATTGGGAAACCGATCCGCATAAATCCGTGATGCCGCGGCAGCATTTTGTAAAGACCCCCCCCCCGTAAATAAGAATCATGTCCACAAGTTCAGCATTTTCGTAAACATGTGCTATTTTTTATTTCGTTTGAGCCACGCAACAAACACCACTATTCACTCACGCGTTACCGACTGACATATTTACTGAATACAACTGAATAAAATTGTATTAAGAAAATCGTGATAAGAGTTTCAAATTCTTTCGCTTTTTTGTTTCCGATGCAATGAACCGATAAGGCGGATTATACCCGTTGTTGCCAAACACGAGCACATAATATTATTATTGAGACAGGGCGGTACTCAAACTTCTAAAGGGCTATAACTTTGTTACTTTAATTTTACCAGAAAAATGCTAAAGGAAAAAACATTTCTTTTGATCAGATCTACTCACTGTTAAAATAAATGACTCAACTTCGAAGTCTACGCCAAGATTCAAACAATACGACTGCTTCACTACCGACGCGCGACGTTCCGTCATGTGACGTCACTACCGAACCTCGACGCGCAAGGCCGATCGGCTACAGCAGTCAACACAGAAAATGCCATAACTTCCTTAAATTTAAAGTTATTGTAATAATTCTTTCAGATTTGTCAAACATACTATTTATACTATCAGATGCAAGTAATACAGGCAGTATTTTCGACTATAGAAAACTTCCTAATTGTGTTTAAAACAGTTTCCTCAAATTTTGGTGTTCTCACCGTGCGATGTGCCCCATTGGAACTATTGTCAATGTTAATACTCCCAGTTTCATGTAATCTTCTGTGTATTCTAGACTAGAGAACATTACGGCATCGGAAATGATACGATTTGGATATCGCTCTTGATATATCCTCCTAGACATAAGCGCGTTCCCGTCAGCAAGTCCGTAGGTAAAATGCATATCTGCTAACTCGGAATTTATAAATCTTGGCATGCTTTACTTATTTTCTCTATATTATTCATTAAAGAAACTTTCACCATGTGAAAAACTATCACGTTTACGAATACTTGTCAAAATAAGACCGCATCGTAATCGATCAAATGTCATTATTTTAAAAACAAAATAGGGTACCAGCCTACTAGCTCAATATAATTTCGATATACCATAAATGCATTAAAATGGTTTTTATTTGTGTACGCGAAAACGGTGGATCGGACGGAAAAACCCAAGAGGTCACATTTATTACAAACTAAATGAGGATTTCAAAAATATTTCTGTTTGGAAAAAGCAATAGTGTACTATATTTTTTTTTGAAAAACAGTATTGAGGCTGTCATAAGAAAACGATTTTTTTTTAAATTTTTATCACCCTGTACCTCAAAAGTTAACAGGTTAAGGACATATGTTCATATGAATTTTTCTTCATAAAATGAGCTAAGGAATCATATCCTGCATTTTTAGCTATCAATTAAATTACACCCTGTATAATGTATTAATTAAAATGTGTATCTTTCACATCGAATTTATTGTTTAAATTATTAATTGGTGTATATGAAGAGGTACTAAGTAGTCGCTAGCCCATTTTACACGTATTAGCTATGATCGCCGCCTATGGAGGAGTGGCACAACAGCCATCATTCGTGCATTGGTACTCAAAATGCCATAAATTCGGT